AAGCATACTGCAAAATCAACTAAAGAGTTTTTTAAGGGAAAGAAGTGGAATGTTATGCAATGGCCAAGTCAATCACCTGACCTGAATCCGATTGAGCATGCATTTCACTTGCTGAAGACAAAACTGAAGGGAAAATGCCCCAAGAACAAGCAGGAACTGAAGACAGTTGCAGTAAAGGCCTGGCAGAGCATCACCAGGGATGAAACCCAGCGTCTGGTGATGTCTATGCGTTCCAGACTTCAGGCTGTAATTGACTGCAAAGGATTTGCAACCAAGTATTAAAAAGTGAAAGTTTGATTTATGATTTTTATTCTGTCCCATTACTTTTGGTCCCTTAACAAGTGGGAGGCACATATGCAAACTGTTGTAATTCCTACACTGTTCACCTGATTTGAATGTAAATACCCTAAAATTAAAGCTGACAGTCTTCAGTTAAAGCACATCTTGTTTGTTTCATTTCAAATCCATTGTGGTGGTGTATAGAGCCAAAAATGTTAGAATTGTGTCAATGTCCCAATATTTATGGACCTGACTGTAATTCTGGCTTTCTACATACTGGCTGAGAGCTCATGTGGTACACGGATTAGTCCTGTCAATAAATCTGCTAACGACAACTCGTATGTATATAAAAGAAATCTGTCCACAGAATGTCTTTCTTGAGCAACACCATGGGCAAGACCAAGCTGCCAAAGGATGTCGGGGACAAGATTGTAGACCTGCACAAGGCTGAAATGGGCTACAAGACCATCAGCAAGAAGCTTGGTGAGACAACTGTTGATGTTATTATTCGCAAATGGAAGAAATACAAAATAACCATCAATCACACTCGGTCTGGAGCTCCATGCAGAATTTCACCTCATGGGGTAAGGATGATCATATGAAAAGTGAGGGATCAGCTCAGAACTACATGGGAAGAGCTTGTGAATGATCTCAAGGCTGTTGGGACCACAGTCACCAAACAAACCACTGGTAACACAATACGCCACCATGGACTGAAATCCTGCAGTGCCTGCAAGATCCCCCTCCTCAGTCAGGCACCTGTGCAGGCAAGTCTGAAGTTTGCCAATGAACATCTAAATAATTCTGGGAAGGATTGGGAGAAAGTGTTGTGGTCAGATGAGACCAAAATTGAGCTCTTTGGCATTAACTCGACTCGCTGTGTTTGAAGGAAGAAAAATGCTGACTATGACCCTAAGAACACCATCCCTACAGTCAAGCACAAAGGTGGAAACATTATGCTTTGGGGCTGTTTGTCTGCTAAAAGTACAGGCCAGCATTACAGCATTGAGGGGCTAATGGACAGGGCCAAGTATTGTAAAATCTTGGATGAGAACCTTTCTTCCCTCAGCCAGAACACTAAAGATGGGTCATGGATGGGTCTGCCAGCATGACAATGACCCAAAACACACAGCTAAGGCAAGAAAGGAGTGGCTCAAGAAGAAGCACATTACAGTCATGGAGTGGCCAGTCTCTCCAGACCTTAATCCTATAAAAAGTTTTTGGAGGGAGCTGAAACTTCGAGTTGCCAAATGACCACCAAGAAACCTTAAGGATTTAGAGGAGACCTGTAAAGAGTGGACCAAAATTCCTCCTGTGATGTGTGCAAACATGGTAACAAACTACAAGAAACGACTTACCTCTGTACTTGCCAACAAGGTAAGTCTGCCCTCTGTGCTTCTCCACCAAGTACTAAGCCATGTGTTGCTTTGGGATCAAATACTTAATTTTACGCATTGAACTGCAACTCAATTTATAAAATTTGTATCATGTGTTGTAGAGTTTTGGTTGATATTCTGTCTCTATCATTTAAAATACACATGATAAAAGTTATAGACCCTTCATTTTTTTGTAAGTGGGCAAACTTACAAAATCTGCAGGGATCAAATAATTATTTTCCCCACTGTACATTTTGAGACTGATTCAATGGACGTGTTTTTTCGTCCTCCTCATGAGCCTATCAGATGTTCTCTGTGAGATGATTTCCCTTACATTTATTGGTTTATGGATGGAGTGGACATAAGTGGCTCCCATTTATCAGTGGGACTATTCCCAGAGGCCTATTAAAATATTCCCAGCTATTGCCTTTAAAAATCCGAGCCCCACATCTAATTTTCCCTGGCTACTACCTCTATGGGTCTAATGGCAGCTGGAATGCTTCCTCAGTACAACAGCAGCTTTGGGCAGGCAGAAGGCACTTGACCAGACCCCATGTGTGCTATTTAAACTGTACTTCCACTTTTACATAAAAAAAAAAAATAATATTCATAATAGGTGATCTACACTCACCAGCCACTTTATTAGGTACACCTGTTCAATTGCTTGGTAACACAAATTGCTAATCATCCAATCACATGGTAGCAAATCAATGCATTTAGGCATCCAGACATGGTGAAGACGGCTTGCTGAAGTTCAAACTGAACATCAGACTGGGGAAGAAAGGGGATTTAGGTGCCTTTGAACATAGCATGCTTGTTGGTGCCAGACTGGCTGGTCTGAGTATTTAAAAAACTGCCCATCTACTGGAATTTTTACGCACAACCATCTCTAGTATTACAGAGAATGGTACGAAAAAGAGAAAATATCCAGTGAGTGTCAGTTGTGTGGACGAATATGCCTAGTCAGAGATCAGAGGAGAATGGCCATCCCTTTATGACTACGGTGTACCCATCTTCTGATGGTTACTTCCAGCAGTATAATGCTTCTAATAATTCATACACCTTGTTGAATCTATGCCAAGAAGGACTAAGGCAGTTCGGAAGACAAAAGGGGGTCCAACCCGGTACTAGCAAGGTGTACCTATTAAAGTGGCCCGTGAGTGTATGTACAGTGCAGAATTTTAACAATGTTTGGTGCAGATTTCTAATTTCTTATTTGTTCTGAATATATAAACATTTGTTTCATCATGTCCTGTTTCCTGGTTCATTAACCACCTGGTGAATTCTCAGTGCTCCGATGCGGGAAGCTGTAGTGCTGGCATACTTTTACAGTAGGTAACCCTTTATGGTTTCTCACTAAACAAACTAAATTCCTATTGCACTGATTTTTTTTACAGCGTAGAAAACGTCAGTGGTTGCAGTTAGAAGTGGGATGGCATTATGTGCAGTCTAAACTGGACTTGTGGCACTCGTGCCTTTGGCAGGCAAAATCCTGTACGAAACCTGTTTTGTTCAAGAAGCCAGGGATAAAGATGATGATGACGACCAACAGGTTGTTATGCACATCAAGCAAGAGGTCAAGACACTCCATAAGAGTTGTTGTTTTCACTTCTGCTGTGCAAGGATCCTCTACTCTGGCAACATCCAGTTTTCTTTGTGGAACCAGTCAACTGGTCTCAGAACCTCCTCAGGCCAATCAACCCTCCTCAGACACTTCTAAAGAGGAAGATGCGGATAAAGATTTTCAATATCAGGGGTCTCCAAACTGAGACCCTTTGCTAGCCTTTATCCAACCATTGGGGCACTTTTCCTCCCAGTGATAGAGGCACTAATCTTTCCACTGACACCAACAATGGGGCACCATTTCTTCCACTGATATTGGTGTATTATTCCTCCCACTAACAACAATGGGGCACTACTCCTCCTCCTGACCACCAACCCTGATGCCATGTTTATTCTCAGGACATTTTCTTCCCTAGGTGGCCACAATACAGCCGCCCTAAAGTCTGAAGGAGAATAAACTGGCCCTTTGTTTGAAAAGTTTGGAGACCCCTGATCTATATACAAGTTTTCGCTTTCATGACAAGTTCCTCTCTCATAGCCTACAGAGGCAGAAGTCATAGGGGCAATGAGGGGGATCAATGCCCATGTTAAAAACGAGCAGCGAAAAAGGTCTCCCAGGCCAGGGCATTAGCTTTGCTCATGCTCAGAAGAAACACTGACTTTGATCCCTTAAACTGCAGGATAACAAAGTAGAATTTCAGGCTAAACCTAATTTAAAAATGCTCCCCTTACCCCTCCTAACACCTATGCTGATTAACCTGTGTAAGAAAAATGTATATAAAATTACCTATTTTTAGCCAGTACTGGTGCGGCCATGTGATTTCTCATGTATCAGCCAGCAGTGGCTATAGGGCAGAGAAGAGAGTGCTCAACAGCTGGTAAAACCTGGAGCTGTGAAGTCACCAATATTCTCCTATGGCGCATCCGCTGTCGGTACCCCCTCATCTCCCCTTCAGTTGCTGCTGACACAGGGGAGGTGGATCACATGACCGGACAGGAGTGGGCTTAAAATAAGTAAGTACATACATCTTTCTAATACAGGTTAGTCAGCATGGGTGTTAGAAGGGGGGAGGAAGCATCTTTAAGACTAGTGAGGTTAAGGCTACGTTCACACTAGCCTTGTGTGCAGGCGGCAGAGAGGCGTTTGGGAAGCGTTTTTACCGCTTCCCAAACGCCTCTGCCAATTCTGCACATTACAGCACATGGTGCTGTTCTAACAGGAGCGTTTGCGTCGCGCGTCGTCGCGGCAAAACGGACGCCTCTGGTCGAGTCAGGAGGCTTTGAAGCCTCCTATTCTCGTCTATGGTCCCGCTCCGCAAACGCCCGGCCGGCGTTTGCGACGCGGTTGCGGGGTGTTTGCGGAGCGGTAACACCACTCAAATGCATTATAGGCGTTTGTGGGGCGTTATTAACGCTTGGCAACCGCCGCTAAACCGCGCATGCGGCGTTTGCGGAGCGTTTGCCGAGCGTTAAAAACGCTCCGCAAACACCGGACCAACGCTTGCCAAACGCTATAGGGGCGTTTGGCAAGCGTTGGCAAAACAGCCTAGTGTGAACGAGCCCTTAGTCTGAAATTCTGCTTGAAGAAAAGGTGTTTGAAATCAAGACTAAGGAGTAAAGTAACTGATGCAAAATGCGCTATTTAAATTTCATTGTGTCCTGGAGCTGAGCTTTAATGGATTATTTTTTAGTGATTTTAACTGCTCCTCATTTTATTATACTGTTCTTAATCAGCCTGGCCTCCTTTCAGTCTTCTGCAATAAATGATAAACATGATCCTACCTTCATGTCTGCTTCCCCTCCACTTCGAGTGTCTTGACAGAAGAAGTTGTAGCCTCCTTCCCATACTCCCGTTACAAGCTACAAAAGATAACATTTCAATTAGGATACAGACGTACATACAGTGTATTCCACACTGTGTATTGTACACATAAAGATTCATAAAGTGTCCCATTTATTGCATCGGTAGAGAATGCCAATATGTATCTAATACAAAAAATGTACTCCGTGTCAGTCCTAGCAACCAATAAAATTATCTCCTTCACCATATAGATTTATTAAAAGTGAGTATGTGATTGCTAGCTACTTTATAAGCAATATAGTTGGCTGTTACAAGGAAGTTTCAAAAACAACCACAATTTCACAATATGCTTGTGACCTAATACAATAATGTCTATATACAGTACATTAAATGCAACACGTTTGCAACAGAGGATGCTGGATAGTATATTTTAAAGTGATTGTAAACACTCTTTTTTTAAAATTAAAATAACAAACCGGCCATACTTACCTGCTCTCTGCAGGTAAGGATCCTCCTCTTCTCAGGTCCCCTTGGTCATGGCGGTACTCCTAGCTTCTCTCCCCCCTGCAGAGTGCCCCCATAATAAGCTGCTTGCTATGGTGGCACTCGTGGGTGCTTGCTCCCGAGCTGCCTCTGAAAGTCCACTGACAAACAGAGGTCTCAGACTGCCCCCACTCTCTCCTCTCTGACTGACAGCAGCAGGAGCCAGTGGCTCCCACTGATGTCTCTGAGTCACTGAGGAGAGAGAGCCGCTGCTCTCAAGCACATCTGTGGATCGAGATCGGGTTCAGGTAAACATGGGGTGGGGAGGGGCTCAGGGGCAGCTGGAGAAAAGGTTAAAAAAAACAAACAAACCACACTTCTGCCTTTAGAACTACTTTGAAGAAAAAATTCAGACTACAAGAACAATGAATCAGTTACAAACAATATTCATACACTGCAGCTGTCAGAACATGCATTCAATTTTGTGTAATCTTCTGTATCCAGGCCATTGCAAAGCTGCTGCCAGAGTAAGTATTAAGCATTGGGAGTGTACTTTCTGTAGCCTGCGCTGTATAAGTATCTCTTTCTGCATCACAATTCAAACTTAGAAGCCTGGTTTGGATTTGATTGGTAGCTGTTAGAAACACATTAGTACTGAAATTTTAGGAGTGGTGTGAGATTTGTGTAGTACCGCAAAGCTTGGATATATAAACTTGGCTGTGCCCTGATATCCTTACTACATATAAGTGCTAAATACCAGACCTTAGTTTATAATGTTAAGTCACGCATATGACCCCCTGTACTAAGCCATGCAACAGTTACGATATATGAAAAGTTATACTGCCACCTTTCTTCTGCACACAAATGTACTTTTGGCTGTGCCACACTTGATGGTTGAGTGCTTCTGCTAACTCAGCACAACCAGACTCAGCAGCAGTTGTGCCAAGTAGGGTAAAGTACTACATTAGTTTAAGGTCAAGTTCACCTGGTTTGTTTTTTCACACATGTAGGGTCAGTTTTGCTAATAAAATCCCTAACTTGACCTACAAAGTCTGCATGGTCTCTTGATAAAAAGAAGAATACTGATCACATCCAAATCTCAAACCTGAACACATCATTATAAGAGATGGCTTAGTCATCATAAAAGTCCTTCAAGTAATAAAACCTAAGTGTACTGGCCCTGTCAGCTTGGATTCTGCTCTCAAATACAACTTTAATGTTGATGCTGGAAGCTATTAGTATCACATCTTTTGGATGTATTTTTTAAATTATAAATTTATAGTGTTCTGATCTCAAACCACAAAAAGTCTTTTACAGAGTTCTAAGATGTAATAACAATGCCCCGAGCATGGCACTTGCTACAAGAAAATACATCTAATCATGAGTATACTATGTAGTACAAGTCAAAAGTAAAATGACATCTTTAAAGGTTAGATGCAAATGTTAGTGCAGGCAGTTTCCCTCATATTGACCCAGATTTACTAAAGGAGTAGAACACTTTCACTTTACAAAGTGAATTTAGCAAATGAGATAAAGCTCTGCTTACGTCAATCTAAATCATGTGCAAGCAAAAATAATGTTTTTAATTTTCTCTGCACATAATCTAGTAATCTCTGCAAACTGAGTTTTCACATTAGTAAAGCTAAGAGAAAATTCCCTTTGCAGTTTGAATATGTGAAAATCCTTTAGTAAATCAGAGTCATTTGCACTTCATGTGGTAGAAAACATCAAAAGGGTATTTTAAATACATACAGTATCTCGCAGAAGTGAGTACACCCCTCACATTTTTGTAAATATTCAATTCTATCTTTTCATGTGATAACGCTGAAGAAATGAAACTTTGCTACATTGTAAAGTAGTGAGTGTACAACTTGTATAACAGTATAAATTTGCTGTCCTCTCAAAATAACTCAACACACAGCCATTAATGTCTAAACCGCTGGCAACAAAAGTGAGTACACCCCTAAGTGAAAATGTCCAAATTGGGCCCAATTTACCATTGTCCCTCCCCGCTGTCATGTGACTCGTTAGTGTTACAAGGTCTCAGGTGTGAATGGGGAGCACGTGTGTTAAATTTGGTGTCATCACTCACTCTCTCATACTGGTCACTGGAAGTTCAACATTGCACCTCATGGCAAAGAACTCTCTGAGGATCTGAAAAAAAAAATTGTTGCTCTACATAAAGATGGCCTAGGCTATAAGAAGATTGCCAAGACCCTGAAACTGAGCTGAAGCATGGTGGCCAAGACCATACAGCGGTTTAACAGGACAGGTTCCACTGAGGACAGGCCTCGCCATGGTCTACCAAAGATGCTGAGTGCACATGCTCAGCTTCATATCTAGAGGTTGTCTTTGGGAAATAAACGTATGAGTGCTGCAAGCTTTGCTGCAGAGGATGAAGGGGTGGGGGGGTCAGCCTGTCCGTGCTCAGACCATACACCACACACTGCATCACATTGGTCTACATGGCTGTCGTCTCAGAAGGAAGCCTGTTCTAAAGATGATGTACAAGAAAGCCCTCAAACAGTTTGCTGAAGACAAGCAGACTAAGGACATGGATTACTGGAACCATGTCCTGTGGTCTGATGAGACCAAGATAAACGATTTGGTTCAGGTGGTGTCAAGTGTGTGTGGCACCAACCAGGTGAGGAGTACAAAGACAAGTGTGTCTTGCCTGCAGTCAAGCATGGTGGTGGGAGTATCATGGTCTGGGGCTACATGAGTGCTGCCGGCACTGGGGAGCTACAGTTCATTGAGGGAACCATGAATGCCAGCATATACTGTGACATACTGAAGCAGAGCATGATCCCCTCCCTTCAGAGACTGGGCCGCATGGCAGTATTCCAACATAACGACCCCAAACACATCTCCAAGACTACCACTGCCTTGCTAAAGAAGCTGAGGGTAAAGGTGATGGACTGGTCAACCATGTCTCCAGACCTAAACCCTATTGAGCATCTGTGGGGCATCCTCAAATGGAAGGTGGAGGACTGCAAGGTCTCTAACATCCAGCAGCGGAGTAGAAGAGGACCCCAGTGGCAACCTGTGAAGCTCTGGTGAACTCCATGCCCAAGAGGGTTAAGGCAGTGCTGGAAAATAATGGTGGCCACACAAAATATTGACACTTTGGGCCCAATTTGGACATTTTTACTTAGGGTGTACTCACTTTTGTTGCCAGCGGTTTAGACATTAACGACTGTGTGTTGAGTTATTTTGAGGGGACAGCAAATTTACACTGTTGTACAAGCTGTACACTCACTACCTTACATTGTAGCAAAGTGTCATTTCTTCAGCGTTGTCACATGAAAAGTTATAATAAAATATTGACATAATGTGAGGGGTGTATTCACTTCTGTGAGATACTGTATATACAGTCAGGTCCATAAATATTGGGACATCGACACAATTCTAACATTTTTGGCTCTATACACACAACCACAATGGATTTGAAATGAAACAAACAAGATGTGCTTCAACTGCAGACTGTCAGCTTTAATTTGAGGGTATTTACATCCAAATCAGGTGAACGGTGTAGGAATTACAACAGTTTGCATATGTGCCTCCCACTTATTAAGGGACCAAAAGTAATGGGACAATTGGCTTCTCAGCTGTTCCATGGACAGGTGTGTGTTATTCCCTCATTATCCCAATTACAATGAGCAGATAAAAGGTCCAGAGTTAATTTTAAGTGTGTTATTTGCATTTGGAATCTGTTGCTGTCAACTCTCAAGATGAGATCCAAAGAGCTGTCACTATCAGTGAAGCAAGCCATCATTAGGTTGAAAAAACAAAACAAACCCATCAGAGAGATAGCAAAAACATTAGGCGTGGCCAAAACTGTTTGGAACATTCTTAAAAAGAAGGAACGCACCGCTGAGCTCAGCAACACCAAAAGACCCGGAAGACCATGGAAAACAACTGTGGTGGATGACCGAAGAATTCTTTCCCTGGTGAAGAAAACACCCTTCACAACAGTTGGCCAGATCAAGAACACTCTCCAGTAGGTAGGTGTATGTGTGCAAAGTCAACAATCAAGAGAAGACTTCACCAGAGTGAATACAGAGGGTTCACCACAAGATGTGAACCACTGGTGAGCCTCCAAAACAGGAAGGCCAGATTAGAGTTTGCCAAAGGACATCTAAAAAAAGCCTTCACAGTTCTGGAACAACATCCTATGGACAGATGAGACCAAGATCAACTTGTACCAGAGTGATGGGAAGAGAAGAGTATGGAGAAGGAAAGGAACTGCTCATGATCCTAAGCATACCACTTCATCAGTAAAGCATGGTGGTGGTAGTGTCATGGCGTGGGCATGTATGGCTGCCAATGGAACTGGTTCTCTTGTATTTATTGATGATGTGACTGCTGACAAAAGCAGCAGGATGAATTCTGAAGTGTTTCGGGCAATATTATCTGCTCATATTCAGCCAAATGCTTCAGAACTCATTGGACGCCGCTTCACAGTGCAGATGCACAATGACCCAAAGCATACTGCAAAAGCAACCAAAGAGTTTTTTAAGGGAAAGAAGTTGAATGTTATGCAATGGCCAAGTCAATCACCTGACCTGAATCCGATTGAGCATGCATTTCACTTGCTGAAGACAAAACTGAAGGGAAAATGCCCCAAGAACAAGCAGGAACTGAAGACAGTTGCAGTAGAGGCCTGGCAGAGCATCACCAGGGATGAAACCCAGCGTCTGGTGATGTCTATGCGTTCCAGACTTCAGGCTGTAATTGACTGCAAAGGATTTGC